GAAGGAAGGTGGGATGGAGATATAGGAAGGAAGGAAGGAAGGAAGACCGGAAGGAAGACAGGAAGGAGGGATGGAGGTATAGGAAGGAAGGAAGGAAGACAGGAAGCAGGGATGAGGTATAGGAAGGACAGAAAGAAGGATGGAGATGAAGGAAGAAAGACAGGAAGGAAGGAAGAAAGACAGGAAGGAGGGATGGAGGTATAGGAAAGAAAGAAGGAAGGAAGGTGGGATGGAGGTATAGGAAGGAAGGAAGACAGGAAGGAGGGATGGAGGTATAGGAAAGAAAGAAGGAAGGAAGGTGGGATGGAGATATAGGAAGGAAGGAAGGAAGATAGGAAGATGTCACCAACGGTCTCGGCCCAGTTAGACCGACTCAGTAACGGCACCGACCCCCGTGACCCTGAGCAGGACAAGTCCAGGATAGAAATGATGTTTGTGTTGAATCGCATGAGATGGTACAGGTTTACTGTGTCATTTAATCAAGTGGAGAAAAAGATCAACTCTACAGTCTGTGGTCTGAAAGTTTTCCATAACTATCAGAACCTACTCTGAGATCAAACTTCTTATTCTAGTTACTAAATGTGATTAAAATGTTAAATTGCACAAAAGAAAGCAGATTATCCCCCCCAGCACGCTTGTTGACATTCACTGTGGGAAAAGTCCAGATGTTCCAGCCACGTTTGTCGGTTCTGTTCTCATAATTTACATTTGGGGTTTTTCTGTTGTTTTAAAAACAATATTTAACGACATGAATTATTAATGTTATGGAAATAAAGAAAATAAAACTTCCATAACAGAAACCTTCACTATTCTTTGAATTTACTGGTAGTGGTCCTAATGTGTCACAGCATTTACCTCTTCTTTTTATAATGTGGAAACAGCTGGAGTGAAAATAGGTCAAGAGGTGTTTAAATCCTAAACTGTCTTTATATTTGCACCTTGATCCCCAATATTGATCCTTGATGTTTGTCTTTTTTAATTTATTTTTTTTCTTTGGTGTTTAACAACAGATTGGCGCTTGTAATTTCACCTAAAAATAATCTCCCAAACTGTACGCTTGTCCGATTCTGCCATGTTTGATACACAGATTGAGTCATAGCCGGCAGCGCAGTGGTTCAGTTGGTAGAGCTGTTGCCTCTCAGCAAGAAGGTTGTCGGTTTAAATCTTGGCTCGGACCCTTCTGAGTGGAGATGCATGTTCTTTCCGTGCATGCGGGTTTTCTCCAGGTACTCCAGTTTCTTCCCACAGACCAAAAACATGCATGTTAGGCTGATTGTTAACTCTAAATTGTCCCTAGATGTGAGAGAGAGTGAATGGTTGTTTCCTTTGTCTCTATGTGTCCCTGTGATGGACTGGAGACTTGTCCAGGGTGTCCCCCGCCTCTCGCTCAGTGACTGCTGGATATGGGCACCAGTGACTCCCGTGACCCTAAAAGAAAGAAGCAGGTAAAGATGATGAATGGATGGATGGATGGATGGATGGATGGATGGATGGATGGATGGATGGATGGATGGATGGATGGAGTGATAACCTAATCACATGACTCAAGCTTGTTTTGTTTGCAGATTCCATCAGATTCACCTGAGTGCTTTGTTTACATTGACTGTGTACCTGCATGCTTTCCAGACTTAATATACTGTATACAAAAATCTACTGGAGAATTTTTATTTCAAACTGCCTTATTTAATATAGTTTAAGATCATCTTTCTTTTGTTCAATTATATATTGCAATGGGTACTTTTAAATCAAAGTCATAACAAATGAACTTGATGGTTTGGTTGGTTCTTTGTTCGTGCAGAGCTCAAATGGTTTATAATTTGTATTCCATCCATCCATTAACTTTATCCACTTCTTTCTTTTTGGGTCATGGGGGTTGCTGGTACCTATGCCCAGCCATCACTGTGCAAGGTGGGGGACATGTTGGACAGGTCTCCAGTCCATCACAGGGACACACAACCTTTCACTCTCACCTAGGGACAGAATTACCAATCAGCCTAACATGCATGTTTTTAGTCTGTGGGAGGAAACTGGAGTACCCGGAGAAAACCCATGCAGCATGGAGAGAACATGCAAACTCCACCCAGGTCGGGGTGGGATTTGAACCGACGATCTTCTTGCTGAGAAGCAACTGCTCTACCAACTGCGCCACCTTGCCACCCTCTGTGAGGATTATCAATACAATTTTTTATTATTTTTTTATCTTAAGATGATACTGCGTTGCATTTTCTCTATAAAAACATGCGGCTGTGTCCTTTTACTGAGGACAACCTTGGGGTCACTTTGTTTAAAGTCACTTTAGAGGCTAATGGTTACTTTCTATGAACTATAATATTTTTCTTTCTTTTGTTTGTTTGTTTGTTTGTTTCAAAATAGCCACATCAGTCTCTGTCAGTGTATGAAATACAAATTTGACGTCGTCCAGTTGATTACATACATAAATCATGACGGGTGGTCTGGGCAGTGTGTTGTAATGTCACCCTGTGCCGGTAGGGGGCGGTGTGTTGTAATGTCACCCTGTGCCGGTAGGGGGCGGTGTGTTGTAATGTCACCCTGTGCCGGTAGGGGGCGGTGTG